CAAGGCCCTTACATATGCTGCCTTCAGATTAAAAGACACACACAGACTAAAAGGAAGGGGATGGAAAAAGATATTGCCTTGATGGACCTAGAGGGTATTGCAGTGAATGAGATGGGTCGGATAGAGAAAGACAAATATCGCATGATTTCACGTACATGTGGAATCTGAAGAACAAAATCAACAACAACAAAAGTAGAAATAAACTCATAGATACAGAGAATATTCTGAGGGATACTAGAGGGGAGGGGGTTGGGGAGTGAAAGAGGGCAAAGGGATTGAGAGGTGCAGGTGGACAGTTGCAGAGCAGACATGGAGATGTAGAGTATAGCAGGGGGAAGATGGTTAATAATATTGGAATGAGTATGTGGTGGGGAGGGGGAGTGCTAGATTTGGTCAGGTGAGAGCTTTGCGAGTTGTATGGATCTCTGATCAATATGCTGTACAGCTGAGGCTGGTGTGTTATATACCAATTATCACTGAAAAAAAAACTCATCGAATTATACAATGTAAATGAAGGCAACTAGTTGTCTATTATATTTCAATAAAGACAGGGAAAAAAGAATTAGAGGCCTTTGGGGGTATGGAGAATTGCCATTCCTATACTGTTGGTATAAACATAAATTAGGATTGCATCCTAATTTGGAAGGCAATTTAGCAACATTCTACTAACATTTTACAGTACATATCCTTTGATGCAGGGAGTCCACTTCTACAAATTAACCTTATAGCTACACTTGGTCAAGTGTACAGTGATAAAAATGATAATGTTTTACTATAAACAAGAGATTTATGGAACCTAAATAAATGTCTATTGTTAGAAAACACAAATAAAATTTTACACATCCTTACTATGGAAACCCCGCAGTCATTAGAAACATCTGTATGAGCTTATTCTGAAAGCATTTTCAGATGTAGTTCAATGGTTGTCTCTGGGGAGTGGAATTAAAATTAATTTTAATGTTTTTTCTAAATACTTTTCAATGTTCAAATTTTTTCAGTAAACAAATTGTATTGTTTTTGTGTTTAAGATAGTAAAAGAAAAAAGAAAAGCAAACCTTAGCCATGGAGTTTCTTTAGTTTCCAGTAAACATAAAATTTATAGATAAAACTGTTTCTGAAACTCTAGTGGTAAAAATTCTTCATCTTAAATAACGATTCAGTGATAAAAAAACTACTCATACACACACCTCTCCTCCTGAGAAGAACCCATGGTTACAGTAAGACACAAACTTTGTTCTTGCTCTAAGACTCTTTTTCCTGACCTCACAAGGACTTTAAATTCTCACAAATAATTATTTGGAAAGCAAATGGTAAAGCATAAGCAACTAGGAATTCCAGGTAAAGTGTATACAAGAGTTCTTTACAAACTGTTTCTGCAATGTTTTTTAATTTTGAAATTATAATCAAAATATAAAATATTTTTAAAATCTTTAGGCCTCTATTAGTTTTGAGCTCTGTTGATAAGCAGCTTGTTTCATTCTCTCTCCCCTGGAAGAAGTCCTTGCCTCAGTGACACATGGAATTCACTTCCCTACTCACCTGGATTCGCTCAACTCCACCTTCTGGGATTCCTTGGTCTCCTGTGAGTCTGCTGTCTTCGGAGTGTGCACTTTAGAAGATAATGGTTGCAGAGTGAGAAGACAACAAGGTGAAGCCATGAGCACAAACAGCAGAGCAATGATCTTCTCCCCACACCCCTCAC